GTAGGTACGAGCTTTACTAGTAGGAAAATTTACAGCTTCTTCAGTCCTCTTTGCCTTTGTTGTCGAATTCACTGGTGTCATTTGAGTCCGCGGTTCTGGTGTACTTCAAAGCATTATAAAGGCGAACTATAAAAACGTTAGGATGATAACGGCTAGGCAACAATGACATTCTGTACCTTTTGCCACTTAGAGCCGGTAAATGGGCATAAGCAAGGGCTGTAAGCGGTATTCGAGCTTTTGACAGACAGTTGCCTTCTACCCGACTATTTTTTGCCTCGGTTAGGAAAATAAAGTCAGAGAGGTTATGATAATCTGTCTCGTCACGAATACCTGGGGACTAACTCTTCCATTAGAGGTGAAAGTGAGTAGGTCTTGATGAATGCTGGTGGATGTTTGTTGGTTACAACGTGTAAAGTTTGAAAGTTTGGTCGTGGACCATACTTAAGGCTAGCTTTCTTTACGATTTGAATTCTGACAAGAGCAGGCTATTCTAATTCACCAGCAGAGTGAAATCCAACATGCCTGCCATCCGCTGTCATCTTATCGCTTGATACTGAAAATGGATCTTCATCACACGGATTTGATCCAAGAGACTCGCTTGACAGCTCACTTATCACTTCCTGAAATCGAGTAAAACTTAAATTGCGAATATTATTCAAGTTTCCTTACCATTTAGTGATTCGATCGGCATATAGGTCTCCTAATTCCGTTAAAGACAGAAATCGAGTTTCGATATCTTCAATAATTTCTACGTTTGGGAAGTTATTTGAAGAGTAATTGAGTGAATAATTTGAAGAAAACAAACCTGTATCAACAGCGTCGGGCCTTAGAGGTTTTCTAGATACACTTGCAAACTCCTTTGGATAGAACTGCGTCTAACAGTATAGTACCAATAAATACTCATTAAGTAGTTACGGGGAAGGTATCTGGCCGATATTGGTCGATAACTCGTTCGAATTCCACTGGAGACATTATTGAGGCGCTGAAGTCAAGTGGATTTTCATGTATTTCCAGCGTTCTCAAACAAGTGAGATAGTTTATAGTAGTCTGAGGCAAATTTGAAGAGTGAGCATTGGTAAAAATAACAACGAGCAAAATATATGGATAAGTATAAAAGTCCTTTCCACTCGATCAAAAGTAATACCGTATTATTCAAACAATGCAATGATGTAAACTAGTTTAAAAGTAAATGCTGTAATGCTTTGTTTGTTTGACAACCAAAACTGGTTTCAGTCAACTGACTGTCTCTGTTGAGTGGGACAACCTCTAGACCACATCAAAAGCTTAACCTCCTCCCAGTTTGCCTGAATATAAATGACAATCTAAGAACTATGCCTTCTATTACCCCTAAGAGAGTTACAGAGCGGTACAATTATTGATCTGAAAGCGCACGATGCTAGAAAACTGCTAAGGTGGATCATAAATCCAGTTTAAATAAACCACTTGTTATCTATTAGAGTGACCAACAGTTGCCTCAAGGAGTACTAAAAATACAACTTCATTTAAGATGTGAATCCTTACCAGAATTTCGTCAGGATCTCTGATGCAATTTCGATTGAAATTGAGGTGCTCTGCGTTTGGGAAAGCCAGCGCAGTTAGAGAAAAGGAATCAATATCGTTTCCTGCAAAGTTTGCATATTTTAAGTACCTACTTAATGTGGGGAAGAAGTTTGTGCTTACTCAAGAGCGCCCAGCTCCACTAAGGACCCAATACAATTATCTGCGAAGTCAATTATTATCAGGGAATTTATTTCGGATACCAGTCCATTTATGATTTTAATTTTGTTTTTAGACAAGTACAATTGGTTGACCTAAAATATCGACAATCTTACAAGACGTACACTTTTACAAAATTGTAGAGCTGAAATGTCTTGCAATCTATTATTTGACGCATCCAAAAACTCGAGATTTGGAAGTGATTTCAGAAACTAGATTTCTTTGAGAAATACATTTACACCTTACATCTAAACTGCCAAGTTTGTTAAAACTGACATTAAGATAAACTAGGTTTGAACAACTTTGCACGTCCTCAGGTAGTAGTAACTTCAAATTATTTCTGTCAAGGCGTAACTCCTTTAGGGAATGCATATTCGCGAAAGCGCCGGCGACACAGTCTATCCGATTATGATGCAGATCTATCACAGCTAAATTCTCAAAACTAAAAGAACACGGGTTTTGCTGAGATTCCTATAAAATTTCTTACCGCCTTAAGCCTTCAATGCTTCCAATATTATTGTTAAAGGCATAAAGATTAATTGCACTCTTTCTGATATTAATTAAGGCGTACATACCGGCAGTGGTCTCAAGTCGTCAATTGAGCACAATCCACTTGAAGAAATATCCAAAGTGCAGACTACTCTAGGGTCTGAATGGAATTGATGATCTAAAAATAAAATCGATCACTAAACAAACCCTTTGCCGACATTTGATGCTATTTTAGCGGCTTCATTCAAACAGGTTACCGTTTTCTAGGACACCAAGCACATTGAAATGCTTACGGCCATCGCATCTACAGTACATTAAGTTGGTGTGAGATGGGTCCGCAAAATTATCGAACGATTTTTCAGCTTGCATTGCTAAGGGGCATGCCAGAACAATATACATATTAATAAAAGTGGAAAAACGCAACAAAAGTAGAAAGTTTATATATCAACTCCCCAATAAATTTTTAGGGATAATAAGTGGCATTTTAGAGGCACTGAACCTCGTACGAAAACGTCTTGCAAGTTGTGTTATGCTTCGTTCCTTGACTACCGATTCAGTAACCGATTTAGGTAGCGTTTCGGAACCCTTTACTAGATATTAAAAGACGTGCTCAAGGACGTCCCACTAGCTAAAAGAACGCTTTAAAAAGAGCCTTATATATGCACTCACGGAAAATTAGTGACGATATTTTGTAGCGTCTTCTTCCCCGCCCTATTCAATCCCCATCCCAGTCTTCTTAACTAGAGGGCAGTTTGACGACGGCTCTTCAAATAGTATGTATGTACTGTAGCAACCAGAGACTTCCCGCCGAGTGGAAGGAGGCAGTAAGTGAAGCTAAATGCATGTATTCCAAGGCGGACAAAGCAACAAGTCCTGAGCATAGCCCAAAGGCCAGGCAACGAGTGCAAGGTCTAGACAAATCTTAAAGTCCACCGAACGTCAGCTAGTCACATAAACAAAGTATTACACATGGGAGTAAGGTGAAGCCAAATACAGGCGTCAGTCCAAACCCTTTTGTTGTGAGAGTTTAAGAGATTCTCCGTCACCGAATTAAATACGCCTCTTCCACACAGTCGGTACATGCAAAAATCTGTTCGTGCTAGAATGTCAGTCGTTAAGAATGTCTGGTTCGCGTCCCGAGAAGAAGTCATTAACTGAAGTTAAAATACATGTATTTCAAAGAGAACGAGGCGACTGGGCCTGAGCATGCCCCGAAGGCCAGCCCACTTGTACATGGGCCAGACAAATCTTAAAGTGATCGCCAAACGTTAGGTGGTCACATAAACAAAGTATTACATGTACAGCCAACAGTGGTAGAGGCAGACCCACCATGTGTGGACTAGATCCGAGAGAAATACTTTCACTCAACTTCGAATTGAATTCACGCCCTCTCTTACAAAGCACACTAGAGCAAGATAAAACCAAAGTAACTATCAGAAATATTGAAGTTAATAAAAAACATATAGACGTCCCATTTGGTAGTGAAATGCAAAGGGTTTGGCAAATACTCGCATTCAGGCACGTGCGGTTGTGGGCCCACCCTACAGATGCAAGAAGACTTTTGGCAAGACCATTATCCATATAGATGAAAACTAATAAATTCGTCCGATTTGCACTGCGAGCACACATAGAAACTCGATGTGTTCACCTACTACTCGTAACCAAGTTGATCAATTAAGTAAACGGTCTAGCGTTACATAATCGGTAAAAATCAAACATGTAGCTGAAATTTTTAAAGGCTCCCTTTTAAGTAATACAGTTCGGGTTTTTTGGGGAGGAGGGGGGGAGCAAGATGTCAATTTTGGACGTCCTACGGGTGGAATGTGGGAACCCTGATCTGAACTAGCTCGACTACCTATTTACTGCACTCTCGCCTTTCCGCGTGTACCTTTCTAGGTCTGCCAGCTAAGCCATCCTCTGGTAAACTCCCTTCTAAGAAGACTAAGATGCAGGATTTGGAGAGTGGGTAGGAAGGCTGTAAAGTATGACCTCGATCCTAGAAAGTAAAAGTACCGTCGACTTTTTATGGTGATCTCTCTCGGCTAATTTTGTGCGCAGGACCTTAGTGATTTATACTTCACCTATCAGATCGTTGTGTCCCTGAGCGTCGTTTACCTGCGCCTGTTAGTTTGTTTGAAACGACTCTTTAACCTTCTTTACTTAATCCGAAATGTGACTTGTGCTGCTGAGTTAAAGATGTATCAATTACTGATCAAAAGCACCGGATTAACACAGAGTCATGCTGTGGAAGACAGTTATTGAGTTTTGCACATTGGAGCCACTTAGTCAGTGCAAACATTCGTCTTCAGTAGGAATAAAGAGGAGAACTACGCCACGCAAAAAAGCGTATATTGTTGCGTCCCGGTTTCCGTGCTGTTAATGTTCATGTTGTGTTCAGACTTATGTGCTTGCGAGTTGGGCTAAAGCTATGGTCCGGTATGTTATTCCCAAATCTGAGATTTGGAAGATGAGGCGCAAAAAGTCATTATCATGAGATCAGAGGCACTGGCAGTTTTTTTAACGTCTGCAATCAAATGACTGAGAATCGTCATACATTTTTGTTTTGAGAAAGTAAAGTTGGCAAATTCCAGTCCCGAGGTCATGTGTAAAACGTCCAGTAACTTTTTCTAGGTTCTCAGAATGCGTTTATGGGGCTGTGTGAGGTCTCCAAATGTAGGCGTCCTCTGTAATGATGGGGCACTGTAGAAAGCAAGCTGGGAAGTCATAAAAATAATGCAGTTGTGATATATAAAACCAAAATTAGTACACACAGTAACATTTGTGTAAAACTTTACTCAACCACTTCCAGTTGTGCCTTGAAAGTTCAAATAATGTTTAAGAATGCAAGATCCAGGTGTTAGTTCAAATCTATCAATGCTCCACTGTTTCCTAGATCATAAACACCAATGATGCAAGAAGATTACAACAGTCTAGTAAAGGCAAAGCTGCTAGGATTATGAAGAAGGGAAAGTCTTGGCACCGGCAAATTATCGTAATTTTAGCTTGCTGTAGTTTCGATAGTGCATGGATGCGAGTGGTTTGACTTACCTTGCATGTGATACAGTACGATGAGTATCAACATTACGATCGCTTTCATTACCATCGCCGTCAACAGCAGTATAAGCGCAGGATCCGATAAAAAGATTGGCCCCCTTGGAGAAGAAAGGATGGTGGGCTGGGAATGCAGAAGGTGAGAGGTTGGCGCTCTCACCTTTTCCCATCTTTTCCTCAGGTCTTCCAGTTTTCGAAAGGATCACACCGTTACACAGCGGCGGTGCCTCGTCGTGCAGTTTTTCAATCAGAAAATTGGTAATCTTAAACATTTACCGTTAATAAAGATAGTTAAGGTATTGTAAACATGGGTAAGACTCGGCTTCTTCACCCAATGCCTCGCTAAGTGCAAAAGTCTTCATTTGTGTTTCACCTTAGCTTTTGAAGTTATAAAATGCTCCTTGATGCTGCTAATCGTG